GCTGATCTTAGAGGTGGTTTTGTAAAAAAGTTTTTATAATAAGAAAATGTGTGAGAACTTGCAACAATATTGTAAACTCTGCTCTACCTCTACCAGAAGCAAAAAAACTGATATACCTACCTACTTATAATTTTACAGAAAAAGACATTGTAAACATTTTGATTTGTGAAACAAAGTCTATTTAACGTTTCTGATTTCCAAATAAATTATTTTGTTTTAATACCTACTCTATTTTTCTTATTACAAGTACTTACTATGGCCTTGGACTTAGCACACACAACCGTTTGGGTTTTTTGGGTTAAAAACAAAAGCCCAAGGATTTCCTTTATTTGTCCTACCTCCATCAAGAAAAACTGACATTAAACAAAAAAGAGGCTTTATAGCCCGCTATTGCAACCAAAACATGTTTTATGCAAGTGACTCTCTGACCTCTCACTGACTCTATGCGCGTACGCATTCTTAAGGAAAATCCGCTCTTAACTACATATATTACCAATGCTATTTACCTAGGGTAGGGTTGCCATGTCCAAAGTCGTATTCTCACTTTCTTTGACCATATTACACGTGGAGACGTCGCTTCTGTTGAACGACTTCTCGTGCAGGGCAAGGTTGAGGTCGCCCATGCGCTGGACTGACCAGGTCAAAACCGCACTCAATGGTCCACTCCGCAAGTGCACAAGAAAGGCTGCAGTGCGGGAGGAATGGCGACGGATTGTGAGGCTTGCCACCGGACCTGGTGTAGCGACGAAGAAGAAGGGTTGCCATCAATCCGGGTTTCCCCAGATTTGTCCTAGGGACTCAGTTTAGAAGGTCGTCCGGGGCTCATTTGTACTTTGTCTGGGCTTAAAAAAATCAATCCGGCTTTTTACGAGCATTGTATGCATCGCATCATGAATCGACGGCAGCTGCCGCGGCCGCGGCATATAGCGATTCGCTACATTCGATACTTACATAAAATGTTGATTTGTGACATTTTGATATTTTTTATTCAGTGACTTTTACAAATCTGACATGTCCTGGTTCTGGGCACCAAAATCCTATGTTTTCACGCGTCTTGTCCTGGTTTCCAAATTTTAGATATGGTAACCCTATGTTTACCGTTTACACAGACCCACATGCGAAGTGAACAGAATAATATTGAAGATGTACTAGATTTTCACTTTTACGCGAATCTCATTAGAAAATTTACGCCTGAGTCAGCTGACATCATTGGATTTTTTCATTTCTAACTGTATGAAAAATAAGTAGAGCTTACACAAAAAAGTGCATTCGAGTTTGGCTTTCCAGTTAAGTTTTTAACTTAAGGCCGGGTAGCAGAGAAAATGGCGAAAATGAGGTTTTCATTTTTCATTTTTGAGGTACTAAACAGTAAAATTAAAGGCTAAGATTTTTATTGGACATAGTTGAGGATATTTTCTAGAGCTATTAACGGAAGGAAACACGATTTGATGAAGTTGACTCGATAGAATAAATTCCCAAAGTTACCTCTATTCGTTTTCTATTTATGGTTTTATTTTTAAAATAAGCGATTTGAGATTCTAAATCTTTTACTAAACTTAAGTTCAGAAATAACTTGAGGGCTTTTAACGGATGAAATTTTTATATTGCGTCTTATTTAGTTACTATGTTAAAAAATGTGGAAAAAATCGTCCATGACGGCTTGGACCATCTCAATCAGTCGCGCGGTGGCGCTTACGGAGGACGGACGCGTGTCAGTTTNAGAGTATTGGACAACTAATAAAAATGCTTTGTCCTAAATGACTGACGGATATCGTAGAGACCTGAAAGTTGGAAGGTGTGTTCTTTGTATGACGTAGGCATCCGATTTTCCGAAATGGGGTCATGAAATGAAGGGGGTGAAAAAAGGGGGCAAAGTTTGTATGGGACAAAGTGATTTTTTGGTTCAATCTACTTGAAATTTTGCTTAACAATTCCTTAATATTATAATTCATGACAAACGTGTAAAAGGGGTAGAAAGTTATTTTGGGAGTCATTTGCTTCGAAGTTGATATCAATACTAGATACTTACTGCTTTTGATTTAATTACTTTTTATTTTTACAAGTGTTTGAAATCAAATCAAATCAAATCATTTATTTTGCGAAAATGGGTTTACATCAGTAGGTGTTACAATTTTTCAAGTAGGTATCTCCATCTTCCACCTTTAGGCATGCAAAATTATTACTGTAGTTGTCATTTACATTCATTAACAAAATATAATTCACATTTATAAAAACTAATGTCAGACAACTCAGGGTCAATAATTACATTAATGTCAATTCAAAAATAATAAATTAAAAATACTAAAATTACCTATACATATAATGTCAACTACATTGTACTTGGTATGTCAAAAGTATTAGAAAACTCCATGTCAGATTGTAATCAATGTCTAGTGAAATCTCAAATTGAAATGTCTCAATCTTAATGAGGAGGCTCTGCATTTATTCCTAGAATTCCCCTAACACCGTCAAATTACCCTTTCGAATTCAAGACAGTGCTGTTTCATAATGACTATAAACAAAGCTCAAAGTCAAACTCTAGCGACCTCTCCATAAACTCCCATGAGTGCTCAGAGCGGGTGCCTGCGGCAGATAACCGCGTGTGATGCTCATAGTGATTTTCGATACATACGTTATACATAAATTATGGAAAGAAAACACCCAGATCAATACAAACAAATATGTATGCAATTTTAGTATGATATTTATTAGAACAAAATTGATGCGTGTACTGATTAATGTAATTAATCACATGCAAAGTTTCGTGAATTGCAACAATTATAATTTATTATCCAAGCTCTAAATAATCGCTACTACAAGTAACTGATCATAAAATGTTTTTCCAATCGCTCAAGCTCCCGATGACCTTCCCATAGGTCGGGTGACGTAATCTTGAAATTATTTTGGCCGACGCGGAACTTCCGAAAGGTCGGGTGACGCCACGCCTCTTTGAACCGTGTTTACTTTGACAGTTATATTTTATATTAATTTATTCGATTCTAAAATATATTCCCAAAAATTCTGAAAGTTATTTTAATTTGTATCACTTGGATATAATTTGTATTAGAAAGTGCTGTGAGTGTGACGCTTGAACGGAAGGAAGTCAACCTAACCTAACCAACTGCGTATTCCTATACTGTGTAGCTGAAAATTGTGGCGGGAGCTCTTTGGCGCGCTGTTTTCGGCGAACAATTGCGCGCGCAGATTTTGACAGCGCGAAATACCTACTTTAGCAGAAATACCAAGCCTTAAATTAATATTTTACTGTGAAAATACCTGTTTGCATATAATTAGCTTCCAATAGTTCTATCAAACACTAAGGCCTAGTAAAAGTATGTATAACACACACGGGTGAAACCGCAGTTGGAAGCTAGTATTACACTCGTTAATTGAGGATAACTAGACAAAAACGCTATCTCTTCACTGACGTAACTCATTAAAGTTTACGTTATTGTTTTGTTTTTACTGCAAAAACCACAACATGTTCGAACTCACCGATACACAAAAACCAAAATAACCAGCTAATTATAGATGCTACAAATATTAATAAGTCTCTATAAACTGACGAAAAGAACTAATTCTCAAAATGACCAATTCTTCGCGGGTGGCTTACAATTTAGGGGTTACTGACTCTAAACCTGTTCTTTTACTTCCTTGGGCCTACCTGTTTATCCTGTTTCTGGGGTATTTATGTTCACATCGTCCTGAGACACTTAAATTATGCATCGGACGAAGTAAAAATACTTAGTTAACGGTGTTAAGACATCAGGCGCATCGGCATGATAATAATAAAATCATGTTATGGCAGATATACATTGGTGTCCCTAAAAATAGTGTCAAGCTCTGGGTTCCCCAGAGGTAGAGCATCACTAGGACTATCACCTACGTATGTTCCGTGATACAAAAATTCTTAATACAAAGTTAATAAATTACGCTATCACAGTAAAACTAGGCGCAGACCACCGATTTTTAGTTGGTCGATAGTTGGGCCCGATTTTAATTTGTATGAAGAATCGGCCAAATCAAATCGGTGTAATGTGCGCATTTCCATACATGCTCATACTGATCAACTGCCCGACTAAACTATCGGCCGACGAAATATCGATGGTCTGCGCCTAGGATAACTTTTTTCATTGAGTCCAAAGCACAACTTTTGCGTACAGCTTTTTCAAAGCACTCATTGTAAGCCTACCTAGTTATGGAATCGCTGGGCTTATGCTTTTTTTGTTTTGTAACCTGTTTTCGGCCAGATCAATCTAATATACAGATTCGTCAGTGGGGAATTATTAATTACCTTCTTTCTTATTCGATGTCGATTACGTCTATGTTATCTAATAGTAGCTCTTAGAACTGAGCTTACAAATATTAATATGAAAGTTCAAATTATATCCTTATCCGCATATACAAAGACGAAATGCGGTAAGTACCTATACGAATCAAATTGCAGGATCATTTGAAAGAAAGACATTTGAACATTTGACTAGGTAATTAATTTCTTAACATGTGTAAAATTGGATATGTTTTTATATTTAATCTTTTTCAGGACGAATTTCAGGTATTTTAGTCCGTTGTTAGAGTAAGTATTTTATATTCTACTTTAATTAAAAAATACAAGATTATGCATAATTTGGAAAAAAAGATCCCCTCTGGTGGAGAAAAAATTTGGAATATTTTTAATGCACGCAACGTTGCAGGCGTTCGCTAGCTTGAAACGTAATAATATTGCGGATCTAACATACTTTTTTTTTGTATAAAGACGTCGATAGTTATAACACTAGACTAGTACACTATCGAACTCCTTCAACATACCTAATTATCCTCTGTTAAATTTCAGTGCAGTTCTTTGTAACAAAACTTTCCTTCTGGACTAATTTATTTTCTGGTTAGGTTTCATTCGAAGTGTAGCTTTAAAATTTCTTCCAAGTTACAGAAAATCATAACTGATTAATCTTAAATGAATTATGCTTTCATACTCTTACCTGTCTCCTACACCATCAAAACAAAACACAATCGACAATTTACGACTTTAAAACAACTGTTTTAAAACCTATTATATTCGTAACAACCGGAGGAGTCCAAAGTAGGGTCCTTTCAATCTGTGCACTCGTAAACACGTACAATTGAATGTAAAAGTATATTACTTTCTTTGTCCCGTTACGTCGACCTCACTCGTTCGAGACCAGTCGCACGCGCAGAGCGGTGGTTGAAGGCAGCATCGACTTTCTTTTGGTGAGTAGCTTTTGTTTTTAGAAAGTGTTCAATTCGGCGCGAGCGTTAGATAAATGTCGAAGATGTTTGAAATAGGACACCTTGTGCGCGGTTTTAATTGTATTTTTTTTTTCGTAGAATATTTATCCCCAATTCACAGTTACATCAAAATTTCCAAATAAACACTAGTTTTTGCCTGCGGCTTCGTCCGCGTTGATTTCTGTTTGACACAGAATGTCTTAATCTATCCATATTCTATAGCCTATGTTCATCAGGAATAATGTAGAGTTCTAATGGCAAAATAATTTTCCAAATCGGTTCAGTACTTTCGAAACATATACAATACAAGCAAAAAACTGTACGGGTAGAAGATTCAATCCAGGTATTGAACATGTTTGTGCCTCATTATGAGACGTTGTGATTGCATTATCGCGAAAATAATCTAAAACGAATGTTATTTTACTATGAACTATTAGGGACTACTTACACCAAAAAAGTTTTCTTACTCAAAACATTCAAAGAAAACTCGCTACTCCATCAAATATTTTTGAATCGCGTAAACCTGTTTCAAATTAATTAAATTATTTTTTGATACACAAAATAAACCTTGCCCTCTTGTATTCTGTAGGTCCGTGCAAGGTCCAAATCCTACTGTCAGGACGAGTCGCTTAATTGTTTTCCTACAATGATGTCTTCTCATACGAGTCTACGATTTTTTCAATTTCGTGTACGAATTTGATCTAATGGTTCAAAAATACGACCCCGGATAAAGCTGTCAATATTAATATAACTAATTTACGTTCATTTAGTTCATTACCTAATTGTGAAACTTCAGCAGTTGAGTAGGTAATAAGTATTTATTTTCACAATTTTGTTAATAATAATAATATTCGATAACTGATTATTTGCATCAAGTCTGATTTCTAAAATATTTGAGAGTGCAAACGTGTTAACAAAAAAAAATCGCGAAAAGAAAAGTGTTCATAGAAGTAGGTTAAAGTTGTTTACATAGTCTACGAGATGAATGCTTAAAAACATAATATGGGACAGAAGTAGAAACTAGTTATAAAATAATATTTAGCAATCGGGAAACCTATCTATTGGTCGTAAGGCTAAAAGAATGGGTTCTTTCTTTTCTACAACTTTTATTTAATTGTAAGAATTTAAATTCATGCAGCGTCTCCAAACGATTTCTCCAAACTTCGTAACTTTCCTTCTAGCTTTTTGAATAAGCACTAAACAAATTGAAGCATAGGTATTTACACATTGTTAGCCTTTAGAACAAGAACTCGTCCTATCATTTGATTAATTTTGTTGGGAGTTTATTAATACATTTATTTTGATTGCGAAAACGCAAGCTGTAGTGACAGCTCTCTTATTTATTTACACTAGATTATAGCTAGTGCTGAATTACTATGTACCTAATGGAGTAGAGCACTATGACTGTGACCTGGAAGCTTCAAAAGTTTCTGTCTGAAAAATCTCCTGGAATAAATATTGATCTTTACTGGTTGAACTTTCGTAGCTGGGCAAGAGGTGGGATTACTATTAGTCCTTCTTGTATTTATACAATGACTTTTACCAATATAATAATCACCTTTCCATTTCCCACACTAGTCAGCAACAAATCAACGTGTTATTCAGGTTGTTTTTATACATTGAAAGAGCATGTTAACAGACAATACAGCTGGGAAGTAGCGACGACTACTTCTCATCTTTGTATGTGGTAGGCAATGTGAAGCTTAAAGCTTAGACCTACTTTTAAACTAATGTGCCTATTAACAATCATCAAGAATCAAAATCAACTGATCATGCACGACAGCGTTTAGATAAAGATTACTATAGTTAATAGACCTCTTTATTTCAAGAGTTCCTGACTCCGGGCCGAGTTGTATTTTTTTTTGTGTAGTTACGTGTGCGTAGTTACTCATCGTCATCATCATCATTTCAGCCATATGACATCAACTTCTGAAAATAGGCCTCCCCCAATGATTTCCACAGTGGCCGGTTGGTGGCGGCCTGCATCTAGCGCCTACTTCGTAGTCCGTATCCGTAGTTACTATCATGATGGAAAATAACATTCCTTATCAGCGATCTTTGGACAAACTTCTCAATTTGCAACTGGTTATATAAAATGACGAAAACGTCTTCGAGCGTCACTATGCTAGGTATAAAGGCGAAAAAGTCCCCAATTGTAATTGGTTACGATACAAAGCTCTGGTTTCCAATCAACTTTAGGGAAATGCAATATGATTTTTATTATAGCTCTGAAGTAGTCCAGAAAGTTCAAAGTCAAGATTTTAAAAGATTTTTTTTATAATTTCAGGTCAACACAATCATGAGGAGCTGGTTACTGTGCGTTCTCGCGCTGGCGGTGGTGGCATGCACCTCAGCACAGCACTACAATCGGTACGACAACTTCAATGCCGACTCCATCATCCAGAATGAGAGGATCCTGCTTGCCTACTACAAGTGTGTGATGGACAAAGGACCGTGTACTAAAGACGGGAAGAACTTTAAACGTGAGTGAAATATTTTGTAATATATCATCAGTCACTAAATCAGAATGATAGAAAGATGAAGCATTTCCTGAGGTTTGAAAATGTGCTAGGATTGTCGCCGTCGTTGTCGTCGTCGTCGTTTCAGCCAAAGGACGTCCACTGCTGGACACAGACCTCCCCCAAGGCTTTTCACAATGAACGGTCCCGCGCTGCCCGCATCCAGGTTCTTCCCGTGACCTTTACCAAATCGTCGGTCCACCTAGTAGGAGGCCTGCCTACGCTATGTCTTCCAGCCCGTGGTCGCCACGCCACTCGAGAACTTTGCCGCTAGGATTGTTTCTGTCCATAAAGGAGGACACAAAAAATCGTAGAAAATCACCGCCCTATAAAACAGCCCACCCTGTCGAAGGTTTTCGAACGACTGGTGCACGTGAGTGCGAAGTTTTGTATGATCAGTCACACTCGTAAACCTAAATACAGAATGATAGAACGTCGATTTTCGATTTCAGAAACATTGAGCGATATTTTTGGATTGATAAGCGTCATCATCACATGCTTTTCATTTGCTAATTATACTAATTTGATTATTTAACGACCTTTATTATGCTAAAAGTCGTATGCAATTTATCTACACTCTACTCTCCTTTAGACTTAAAAGTCTAAAGTCTGATCAAAAATACATAATATTTATCGCATGGAATATTATCACCACTTTAAGTTTGATGAATACAAAATAAACAAAAAATATTTTCTACCGAAACAACAACAATTTGCTCATCCTTAAATTAGGTATTTTAATATCTTAATAAATATAAATACCTATTTAGATAGGTAAGTACAGTCGAGTTCATTAATATATTGACAGTGCCATTGTTTTCAAAATATTCTAGCGCAGAAGCATAGTCAATATACTGAGCTACCGCAACATATTTATGAACAGTTTAAATGATTACATTTTATTGATGTTTAACGCACGTATTCACAAACGATACTTGCTTAAGTGAAGCAGCAAATCGAACGCACAGCGTTGAATAGAGCTCTGTAATAGGCTAGTTTCCTAAAAAAATTTTTTTAGTCCGTCATGTTTAATATCAAAAAATATTGGACACATATATTTTTATTTGTCAATCTAACAAATAATTACATAGTTATGGTGCGTTGAAGTTCCGCACGACGTCACAACGTGCGGCACTTTTATGCAAGCATTGACGTCACGGGCCTCTTCTTATGAACTTTGGCGCGCTTTATCTCTTTAAATTTTCATTAGTTTGAAAAAGTGAAAAATACGTGTAGAGTATTTTTTGATAAGTTAACTGACGGACTAATTAAAACTCTTGCTTTTTGACCCAGGAAACATACCTATTGGTTCGTGTGTCACCCTGTGCGTCCACGCGCACGACCTCATACTAATGTTTGTGAATACGGGCGTGAGTTTGTATTGAAATAATTATACGATCTTTAAAATATATATTTTGAGACATTGGCATTACTAATATATTAATGAACTCGACTGTAATTTATACTTATTTATACAAACTTAGATGTTTATACCGTAGAACCCTTTATCCTAGTCAACCTATGATTCAAGCAATTGAAGCGACATAATACTATTGAACATAGTGTAATATCAAATTTTCCTACACATTCCAGGTGTCCTACCCGAGACATTGACTTCAGCCTGCTCAAGATGCTCGCCCAAGCAGAAGCTGGTGGTGCGCAAGCTGCTCCTCGGCATCAGAGCCAAGAGCGAACCTCGCTTCCTGGAACTGCTCGACAAGTATGACCCCGAGAGACTGAACAGAGAGGCCCTGTATAACTTCTTAGTGACTGGCGTTTAGGAAACAAAAGACTAATGATGATGAAAGTACTCAAATGAACAGTGGTGATTTGTCACAGTAGAACCTTTAGAGAAGTATCTTCAATTCTTGGGGTTGTAGCAATGACACAATGTTAAAAACCTTTGGCTTTACAAGGATGATGAATAGTTTGATTAAACTCACAAAGAGGGCATTAAAATACAATTTCTAATTTGATGCCACTGATGGTGATCCATATTTTCCATTATCAACGTCATTTCTAATTTGATAGCACTGATGCTGATCCATATCAACGTCGACAAACGCCCACTGTTCTCACTTCATGACTTAATTGCATTTACATTTTAATTTTAATTTAAGTAAATTATTCTTAATATACAGGGTGTTTGGCGCATCGTGTGCCAAAATGATTTGGCGGATAGAATGGGTCATTTCCTATATTTTCAGCCCCCATAACACGTTCCATACCAGGCGGCTACTTTTAAATTATTTTTTTTAGTAATTTCACCAAAATACCCAAATCGCATCATTTAATTTCGATTTAAAAAAAAACTACTAAGCGCAGCCCTAAAGTAAATATTTTGTTTTGACGTGCATTAATGTAGGGTTGCATCAAATCTAAATTTATTGGCAAATATCATCTAGTTTTTTTAAAATTCAGCTTTGAAGTTTTCCGAAAAGTTAAAAATGGACTGAACATTTAAGTTTACAAGGGTATAATTTTTTTTTTAAAAGAGATAGCGATCTTCAGATTTTATCAAAACTTCTCTAGTCTATCCTCATTCAAACGGTATACTAATCTTGTTTAAATAATAACAACAACTTCACAAATTCTTTAAATTAGTGCATTGACTCTACTCGGACTGATTTGCGAAATTTGTGTTTATAGCTCCTTTTTGTGTGAATAGCACGTAGAACACCTAACAGGTAAAAATTATTTATCTTATGCAATGTAAAAACCTTTTATCTATCGTTTTTCAATGTGGATTTCTTGAAATTAAAGACGAAAATAATTATTTTGATCGTTTATTAATTATTACAAATTTTGTTCAAAATGTCCGCCTCGGCAACGTATACACTCAAGACATCTTCTTCTAATTTCGACTGTTGTCGTATGCAGCCACATTTCTCTTTTTATTACTAATAAGGCGTTTTCTATTCGTTGTAGTTTTTCTATTGTTTGAATCCGTTACGTACACCAGTTCTTTAGCTTGTCCCCAGACGTAAAAATCGAACGGAGTTAGGTCTGGGGAACGTGTAGGCCACTGTATAGGGCCATCTCTTCCAATCCACGAGTAGAAAACGCCTTTGTAGTAATAAAAAGAGAAAATTAGAAGAAGATGTCGTGAGTGTATACGTTGCCGAGGCCATTTTGAACAAAATTTGTAATAATTAATAAACGATCAAAATAATTATTTTCGTCTTTAAATTCAAGAAATCCACATTGAAAAACGATTGGGAAAAGGTTTTTACATTGCATAAGATAAATATTTTTTACCTGTAGGTGTTAAACGTGCTATTCACACATAAAGGGGCTATAAACACAAATTTCGCAAATCAGTCCGAGTAGAGTCAATGCACTAATTTAAGGAATTTGTGAAGTTGTTGTTATTATTTAAACAAGATTAGTATACCGTTTGAATGAGGATAGACTAGAGAAGTTTTGATAAAATCCGAAGATCGCTATCTCTTTTAAAAAAAAAATTATACCCATGTAAACTTAAATGTTCAGTCCGTTTTTAACTTTTCTGAAAACTTCAAAGCTGAATTTTAAAAAAACTAGATGATATTTGCCAGTAAATTTAGATTTGATGCAACCCTACATTAATGCACGTCAAAACAAAATATTTACTTTAGGGCTGCGCCTAGTAGTTTTTTTTTTAATCGAAATTAAATGATGCGATTTGGGTATTTTGGTGAAATTACTAAAAAAATTAATTTAAAAGTAGCCGCCTGGCATGGAACGTGTTATGGGGGCTGAAAATATAGGAAATGACCCATTCTATCCGCCAAATCATTTTGGCACACGATGCGCCAAACACCCTGTAGAACTAAAACAATAAAATAAATTAAAATATTGTTGCTGAGTTTCATTGAACTATCCATTCCATAAACATTTAACCCATCGTTTACGTCAGTAGCGGTCAATTGATTATAATCGCCGATAAATATGCATGATATCCCTTGAATAGACGACAATCAAGTGCATAATTACCACAAGACGATAATGTTCACTGACATATTTGTAACATAATATTTATTTCCGAGAAACATTCAAACCTTGGCCACATCATATAAATATTGTCACTCTGGATCAAGAAAATCATACTGCTCACAACAATCAACAAGGACGGTCTAAAAGTGTAAAAAAAACTTCTAAAATGAAACTTGTTATTATTTCCCTGTGTCTGGCCGCTGCGGTTGTAGCGCAAGAAAAATATGACTCTATCGATGACAACTTCGATATATCAGAGGTGTTGAACAACGAAAGGCTACTGAATTCATACACCAAATGCTTACTGGACAAGGGACCCTGCACTCCTGAAGTAAAGAAAGTCAAGGGTAAGTAAAAATATTTGTAAACTTAAAGTACTTTACTCTAAAAGCTCTAACAATAACATAACATTATGTAAAACTTATCTCTAAAATTTTCTAAATATTAACACACTTTAAAGAACCTTAAGCTTTCTTTTCTTTTTCTGCGCTTTCTAACTCTTCCATACTGCGACGAAATGTTTCAATACAGACCCATCCTTCAGTGTGGTATTTCTTAGCGTTATCCCAAATAGTGTTAAACTTTTCATCATCAAATTGTTCACCTGCCCCTTCAAAAATTTTCCTTATTAAATCTGGCTCACGCTTGGCATACATATCGCGATGACTCACGTTCAGAAGTGTAAACAAACTGGGACATAAACACGATTTTGCATCTGACTCATGTGGTAAATAAACTCTATCTGCTTTGCAACAACCTAGAGGTGTCACAGGATAATCCATGTCAAAATATCTCCCCGATGGCAGTCCTGCCATACGTTTTGTTCCAGAATCTTGTCCTGGCTTTACCATTTCAGTATAGGTTGTACGAAAATCAATACACTCATCAGGAATATCAGGAATTTTGGGAAATTCTGGACTAGATTGCGTGAAGTTGAGCATAGTCACAAAAGTTTCATACTTAATTTGTGCTCCATCAAATGCCTCCCACAATGATAACAATGGTTCAATTAGGGATGAATTGAATCGAATGAATTTACGATTACAGTATTCATAAATCAGTTCTTTCGGTAACCATCCAGTTTTCTCCTTATCATAATATCTCAAACTTAAATATAGCTGGCGGAAGAATGTGCTTTCGTATCTTTTAGACATGAATTTCCGTAGAGTATTGAGATGTCCCAAGCACTTTTTGAAAAGCTCCCTGTTGGGGTTCAGTTCACAAGTGGTTAGGCAGTCGACCACTCTACTGGGTGGTTTAAGTTTACCAAACGCATACCCATCTGGCACGCAAGATATATTATCGTTTGGCGCTGATGCTCTTCCTAGCTCCACACGTTTCCCATCTTGAAAGTTAGCCAAATATGTATTAATTGGTTTCTTCAAATTCGTGCCATCTATAATGTTGTCATACGTAAGACAACACTTGGCAAATTTTCCTCGTGGGTCTACATTAGCTCTCATACCAAATACTTTGTTAGGATTGAAAGTTGTCGAGCAATAATTACGATTAGTTTGGTAACCAGGTTGTTTTGAAGCCGGTGTTTTGTCAGGTACTGGATCTTTTGGCATTACAATATCATACAGGCGTCCACAGTCTGGCAGTTTTTTCCCAAGTGTAGATAAAACATCAAAACCTTGTGGCAAAGTAGGTACTGGATCGGGTACTTTTCCAACGACCTTCTTCCAGTACGAGGTATACACTGATTCTTTAAAATCATGTACTAGTGTTTGAAATTTAGTTTTGATGGGAGGGTTAATGATGTCTCTGACTTGGTTGAATGGCCCAGAGTTTCTCATATCAGGTTTTGGTGGATGCCGTAGCGGTGGCAGCTTTTGTGGTTTAGGCGGTGGTTGAATCGAGTCTCTAATAAGTGCTTCTACTTCCTCTTGAAGTAAGTAATGCTGAAGAGAATCTGCTACACGATTAGTGGCTTGAGAGCTAGGAATCCCGGCAGCGCAAACTTTTGGGTCTCTCTCTCTGAACATCCCCAAGTTCCCTTTCCCACCACTTGTCCCACATAGTTTAGACATAATGCTTAATTATTTAATAATTTCTATCGTCCCTATCACGTTTTGGAGCTTGATGGTTTTTAAGTCGTATTATGACAGTTAAGTTGACAACAAACTAAGACGTTTATGAAAGAATATTCTTTTTTATTGACCGGAGTCATAGACACAAACAGTTTCAAATTATGTTAACCTCTCAGCCCCCAAGCATTTCTATTGTATTATATCTGGATTCGCGGAACTTGAAGGATTAATCTAGCAACAATCTAGCAATGCAACTTGATGCAGCTAAATGTGTACTTAATAGTTTATGTGTTAAAATCTAACGTGTTTCCTCTCAATACTCAATATCTTGCTTCCATAATACATGTTACAGTAGCTCTCCTAAGAAATTGTTATTTGTAAGTTATTAAATATGTATTCCATAATTTTCAGATAAACTTCCCGAAGCTTTGGCTACCAGGTGCGCCAAATGCACAGACAAACAAAAGCAAATAGGGAAACAATTGGCCAAAGAAGTGAAAGCAAAGCGGCCAGACCTGTGGAAGGAGCTCGTCGCCCACTACGACCCCGAAGGCAAATACCAGGAGGCTTTCCAAGACTACCTCAAGCCTTAAATTATATCAAAATATTTTTAATAATAAGGTCATGGAAACAATTTGTTACAGTATTTGTGATATATATTTTTATTTAAACTAATATATTTAGAAAAATATACAACATTGTTAAAAACTATGAACTCTCATCATTTTTAGCCTCTCCTCGATTAGGATTAGCTTCCAAAGTTCGACGAAATGTTTCGAAACAAACCCAACCTTGAGAATGGTGTTTTTTTGCTTCTTCCCAAATAGCGTTAAAACCTTCATCTGTAAACTTTTCACCAGCTGCTTCAAAAACTCTGCGCACTACGTCTGGTTCACGTTTAGCATACATATCTCGATGATTCACATGAAGCAATGTCAGTACACTAGGGCTTAAGCAAGATTTCATATCTGATTCATGTGGTAAACAAGTTCTGTCGGCTCTGCAACAACGTTCAGGCGATATAGGAAAGTCCAAATCAAAATACCGCCCTGAGGGTAGCCCGGCCATAGGGGTTAGGTCCGGTGGCTTCCCTGGCTTTACCATTTCCGTATAAGTCGTTCTAAAATCTAAACAATCAGCAGGCAAGTCAGGTATTTTTGGAATCTCCGGCGAAGGTTCTCTGTAATTAAGGACATGAACGAAAGTCTTGTACTCTATTCTATTTGTAGAATTATCAAACGCTCTCCACATGTCCAACAAAGGCTCTATCAAAGCAGGGTCAAACCGTATAAGCTTTGTTCCACAATAGTCGTATACAACTTGTTTTGGCAGCCACCCAGATTTCTCTTGATCAAAGTACTTAAGATTCAAATAAAACGTGCGGAAGAATGTCGGCAAAAAACGTTTAGATAAACATTTTCTCAACGAGTTGAGATGCTTTAGACATTTTTTGAAAAACTCTCTTCCTGAATTTAATTGACAAAATGTAAGGCACTCTGGAAGATTATCGGGTGGTTTTAGTATGCCAAACGAGTAACCTTTTGGTACATTTAGGATGTTGTCATTTGGAGCCAAAACAGTGCCGATTCTAGGCTGTTTTGCATCTTGGAAATTAGCTTGTACAGTATTAATTATAGTCCGGCCACCTGTGCCCAACTTCACTCTATCGTCAGTGACACAGCACCTTGCATAAGTTCCTCGTTTATCTACGTAAGTTCTATGGCCGTAAGTTAAGTCACCATTATAAGCAGGCTCACAATATTTATATTTGTATTGAACACCAGCTTTCTTCGATTCAGGCGTCTTATCAGGGTATGGTTCTCTGGGCATAACAATATCGTAGAGACGTCCATGGAAAGGCGTTTTCTTTCCAAATGTAGTTCCTTGTTTGTCAAATCCTTCTGGCAACATCGGAGCAGGATCTTGAACTTGTCCAAGTGGCGCTTTCCAGTAAGATTTATAGGCGGTCTCTTTGAAGTCTTCGACGAGGGTTTCGAATTTAGTTTTGTTACGAGGGTTAATAAGTTTTGCCATATCACAGAAGGGACCCGCAAATCTTGTATCGTGGGGTATTGGTTTACGCAAGGGTGGAAGTGGTCTGGGTGGTTTTGGCGGGATGATGGAGTCATGAATGAGAGCGTCCACTTCATCTTTGAGAAGGTAGTGCTCTAAGGAATCTGATACCTTATCGTCAGGTTGAGCAGTAGGTAGACCAGCAGCACAGATGTTTTTGTCTCTTTCTATGAACATCCCGAAATTCCCCTTCCCACCAGATGTCGACCTTTGGCAATCCACAGGCATGGTTGTTTAGTTTGATAAATGTTTTTTATAATAGTTTCAAAAATTAAAGTAAAACATCAAAGATTTTATTGCAATTGCAATGACATAGTAAGTGAAAAGTGACGTTAATGACAGCTGTAATCAATGTAAATAAACGAAATAGGTAAGACTAAAAAGGTTTCAGTCGAGATTTTACTATGAGTCTATTTAACTATACTATACAGGGTGTTATTGACTTTGATATCACAGCTTTAATTCAGGCTTTTCAAGAGTAGGTTATTTGTACTTATGTTAAGTAAAATTACATAAGCCACCGCTATGTAACTTAACAGATGCAAGTCCCAAGGGCTTAAAGTAGAAAAGTATCGATCAAAGTTCACCTACCAGATGTCTCGAAAGTGTTAAGCACAAATGGACTCACCAATAAATAATGTCTTTGTTCATTTCTAAGGTAACGATTGACAAATGTATCTTTGCTTGTGCTCAGCATTGAAATCCAGTATCGTCAGGAAACGCTATGAATCAACTAGACAGATTACATGTAGTTAAACCAGTAATGCACACATTAGAATTGCACCCACGGCTCCTTGTGATGGTAATTGTCAGCCTATTTGCTTTAAGCGTTTATGGACAATGACAGCCAACTTTATATAAACTAGGGAACTTCCCACATACGGTCAGTACTCAGTTGTGCAGGTCATTAAGTCTGTTTCAGATTAAGATTTCAGACGCAGTGCTCTAGCCAAAGATTCAGAGTGGAGTTCAGTGAAGTGCCGAATTAATTATACTGGTTTCGTTTATGACAATAGGTAGATATTAGTTCTTATAGCCTTGAACGATGTTAAATATTTTGAAATAAATAAGCTTCGGTGACTTCGAACGTAATAAGCTTAGTTAAATAGTTATCAAATAGGAATAACAAAATAATATAATATAATGTCAAAATATTATTGTTTTTGTCAATTATCGTTAAAGATATTCTCATTCATTTAATTCAAATTTTGCTCCAATTGCATTGAGTCTAATTTTCAGTTTTATTTTTTAATCACAGACTGAAAACTCCCCAAAACTAGACGATTTTAAAAATAGCAGATTCAACTCTTTACCCTAGCAAAACCGATTTGAAGTTGCAAATTGATTCATACATGCAAATTCCTCAAGTTCCTTTCATCAGTGTTAATTAGTGTAGTTTTAAATCTGAACATAACGGTTTCAGTCCAATATGCACCCTCAACATTTCTGCATGATCGTAATGGTGACGACAGCAGCTGCAGACTTTTACAGCGCGAAGTACGACGACTTTGATATCCAGCCGCTGCTCGAGAACGACAGGATCCTACAAGGATACACGAAGTGCTTCCTGGATCAGGGACCTTGCACGCCAGATGCTAAGGATTTCAAAAGTACGTAAGAAATTGCCGTAGATATAGGCCTAGTTGGTTACCCGGACCTATTACATTTGAAAATGTTTACCAATACTTATTATTTCTATTGCAATGGTTACGTCATCTTTTGAATAAAAATATCTTTGATTTTAAGAATCTTTCTTTCGCGTAGGTAATAGGTAGGTAAGTACGCAAAGGCGTCATCTCATGCAAATATTTTGTGTAGGTATAGGTAGGTACTGTGTATTACCAAATAAGTGGAATAAATGTTATGGGAAGTAAAGATTCTTTGCTTGTCAGTATATTCTGAAATACCTACCTTATTTCATTTCAGAAGTCATACCAGAAGCATTGGAAACGTCATGCGGCAAATGTACGCCGAAGCAAAAGATTCTTATCAAGAAGGTGATCAGAGCGGTGATGGAGAGGCACCCGGACTCGTGGAAGGAGTTAGAAGATAAATTCGACAAGGACAAGAAGTTCAGGGACTCTTTCAACAAGTTCCTAGAGGAAAAAGACTAAATAATTCATTCGTGTGTGATTTTGCTCTAATAATAATAAAAGGAACGGCGTGACACAGCGTCAAAATGTAATTTTAAACTTATGGTAACAGACTAATAGAGTGGTGAGTGATTCGACTTATTAAAAAAACATAGATGAAGTACCTAAATTTATTTTACTTTGTTTATGTTACTTTTCAAAGATCAACAACATTTTAGAGTAGATCACCTGTTCTTTACTAGGAAGTAATATCACAGGTTTAGGTCACTAAGAAGAAATCATCATGACGCCATATTTTGGAGATTCTAAATAAGTAGGTACATTGCGTATTACATGTATCTGTACTTATCAATTTAAAAAAAATCCGTTTTGCAGTTCAAACTAATTCATCGTCTACTTAGTGCTTCTACGAGTACCTAATTGACATAACTAGGAGTCGCGTGTGGTAACTACATAATTATTGTTAGCTTGCAAGTTGTCAGCCATAATAACTTTTTCTCTCATAAATTACTGGGAACTAACAACAATCTACAAACTGTTGTAGGAAACTGAAAAAAATATAGACAAAATCCAAATTATAATTTTATTTAATAAATAACCAATTTACAGTCTTTAACACCGTCCTTATCACCGTTATCACAATTTTGTAAACTGCATTTTATGCAAAGCGACTACCTACTTATTTAGTTCTTGCTCTTGACTTCTTCAATTTTGTCCTTGTATTTGTCCTGGTAGATGTTGTTGGGGTCGTATTTGGCAGAAAGTTCCTTCCAGTAGTCAGGTTGCTTGTTGATTAGATGCCTGATGACTTTGTCGGAAGAAGCCTTTTGCTTTTCAGTACATTTGGAGCAGTCGTGCTCAAGAGCATCGGGGAGAGTCTCCTTCAGGGCTTTTCCATCAGGGGTACAACGGCCTTTGTCCAAGAGACAGTCGACGTACCCTCGGAGGAGTCTCTGGGATTCCAGGATCTCGTCCACGTTGATGTGGTCCCATTTATCGGTGTACTGGGCACCAGGGCGGGCGTAGGCCACCGCCACCACCAGCGATAAGGCGAGGAGCACGAATGTCTTCATCTTCGATCTGAAACTAAGAGAATTTAAGGTCAGTTTGATTAATCTTTCGATTCAAAATCTCAGCAGATGACATAAGCTTCAACGGGCAATGGCTGTCTACGACAAATGCATCAGGAAGGCCTTTTTGTGAAAAATATTACAGCATACGGATAAAGCAGTGGGCATTTGCATTTTGCATGTCTACGAGTTCTATGTATCAATTAATGTTAGGAGCCTTCTCGCTGATAAGTAATCATGATGTGAAAACTACCTACATTGCATAACTTGTTTTTCTTGTAACCTGTAATAAGGCTGTAATTCAATCAGCAGGTAGGTACTCGGTATTATTATGGATTCAGATGTAACTTGAAATTATTTACCAAGAGGAAATACAGAAATGCGAACAGCTTTCCAAAATGTTTACGTAAGTAGTCCTTTAAAAACAAGTCAATCAACGCGGTGTTCAGTTATTGCAGGGATTGTTTATTTTTACAATTAACTAATAAAAATGAATGATAGTAATTAAAATCAGTGTTTTGAAATCTGTCATTAATTACAGTCATTTACAGTCGAAAGCATATCAAACTCTACATTTTTATTACAAAATCATACCTATGAGAACCAATAAGATGTCATGGTGGAAAGCTTACCACTTTAATAAAACCTACAAAATTATAATGTACAAACTCAAACATCTAATGGAAAATAGTCCTACTTTTGCCTTGATATTTTTTCATTTAACTGATAACAAACACTAAGCAATAACCATATTATAATGAATTAAAGTATATCTCCCCCTATATGCTATGCTACGTACTCTTATTTTAGGTTTAAAAAGGAAAGTTTATGTAGCCTGTCTCCCAGGTGCAATTTAAGTAGAGCTGTTTCAGAATCGTTCCCTATTAGTAAAGTCAATATTGATTACCTTGACGTTAAAAACACACAGTTAACTGTCACCACTAACACACAGATTTTTCTTGTAGTAAAAAATATATGAATGAATACGATGTGACTGGAAACGTGTTCTCACACTGACTCCATCGAATAATTTAATTACAATGATTGGTTGCCCATTGTTTTATTGTATGGGATATTAGGATGTCACATCACCTGTTAAGGCAGCAGTCAAGTTAAACTAGCGAAATATTTGACAGCCTGCCTGCTAGTTAGGGAACATCAATCAATCTGTAAAGTTTGTTTACGTAATTTTCTATATTATGCGTAGGTACTGTATATTATTATATGAATTCATGGCTATTGTCTTTAGCTAAACAAATTATAAATAATGCAATGATTTTTGCTATTCATAGATAACGTTAATGGAATGCATGAAATTTTGAGTTACTGAAAAACAATCCCAACATTTAAAACGATAAAATTAAATTGATTAAAATTTATAACGTGAGGCGTATCTTAAATTTACGTCATATTATGTTTATCTTTAAGTAGGCATTTTTCAGGTCACTTTTAAACATTTAAAAAAGTTTACCTTACCAGTTTGGGACACCTGAATAGGCTAAAGCAGAGACGTGAACTAACTTTACTTCTACTACCAACTAACTTAATCATTTAAGCCTACATTATTATTGTAATGTCTTTTTTACACTTTTGACAGAAGTTCCATCAGTGGTTTCAAAAGAACTATTGCAAAAAATTCAGTTTTTTCAACGGAATAAAGCATCAAAACATTAGTTAAAGCCAAAAATTAATTAACTGTCTTGCTTAATGGTTTGTTAACAAGAATTGTGATCGAATGCAGTATTGTTCACGTGTTTGTATGGTGTAGCTCGTAACCAGAGGTGGAGAGTTAAAGGTCAAAAAGTTACGACTTCAATAAACAAGGATGGCGTCAACTAATGACATAAGCCAATGAAAATGAAAATGTGATGAAATTGCTGTATTTAAGGTTTTCAGTAAAGATTTTTCTCACAATAAAAGTGCTTTTTTAAAGCCTACTTACAAAAATAAATGAGTTTTATGAGTTTTTTAATAGGCAACGCTTTGTTTTTTTTTGGTAGATAATTTTACTTTTCAATTTGTAATTAATTTTCAAAATATGGAAAGAAAAGTTTATGAAAATATGATAATTATTGCTTAATTACATTTTATACGTAGATTTTCCTTGCAGTAAAGGCAGTCTAATGTCTATACATAATGTTTACTTTTTCGATTTACCGGCAAACAAAATAGACACATAAAAATATTGTCAGAATGGTGAAAAACAGTTTCAGTTATGCTGTAATAAAGAAATTAAGCTTTTATCTCTAAAGAAAAGTGGCATTCGCATATTTTTACAGTGGTAATTCTTTTGATTGTATCATCTCGCTTAAGCCATATGGGATAAATTTGAATTAGTTTAATAAAAGTAGGTACTCTTAGCTTAGATTTGTTTATGTTACGTTAAATGTGATAAATGTGAAAATTATGAATACGACTGAGCATTTTAGACATTATGACTATAAATAAAAGAAATACATATTTGTGTATCGAAGAGACAATGCTTATTAGGATTTTAGCATTTGAAATGCTAATTCTGCTTTCATCTACAAAGAATGGACGTCGTGATCCAACCAGAGGCATTACCTACTTATATTTTTCAAATTTGATAAGGTACATTTTGAAATATTTTCCTCAAAAACTTCAACTAGACCTCATTTTTAAAACTACATATTAAAATAAACGAATGAAAGCACTGAACGTGATCACACTTAATATACCACCAAAAACCAAAAGAATAGTGAAAACAGCATGAAAATCTATCTATTTAGCGATAAGAAATAAATCCTTTACTAACTAATTAGCCACAATAACTTGCCTACAAAAATATCAATTAAACAGGGTAACTTCATGTTCCAGTAACTGCTATCTAATTGATAATCCAACCTGTTAGTTAATAAATAAACAATGCTAACCTTGAAGTGTAGATAACTTACCTTAAGTTATGTTCGTTCTTGGGGACCCTTCGTCGGGCTGTGACGACGACCCGCCGCCTCGGGACATTTATACCACTGCACTCTGTATTAACTAACCGTTGTGACGTGTAAATGCACACAGATTCAATATTGAATAAACAATGGGTGAGCTCAGATGATCTCGGTGAACTCTACTTGATAAATCTGTTATGTAAGTAAAGATGAGCCCACTACTGGGGAAGAAGAAACCACAGATTTTGAAGGCTGTTTTGAATACCTATTCAAGATTTGGACTACTTGGTGTCAAACCTACGCATATTTTTCAAGTTCTGAAAAACATGCCCTTTACTGGTTGGGTTTTCATTGACTATCATGCTGATCTTAGCTAAACGTATGTTGCAGCAGTGGAATCAAGAGGCCTGGAACAAAAGCTTTAGATTTCGAGAAAGTCAGATACCCTTACACTACATGTGATATGGAAATTGAGCCATACAATGATGGTGTCTGCTCTATCGTCAAATCCTGAACGAATTTGACATCCCAAAATTAATGAATTCGTTCAAATAGTAGCAAACATTCATTCATAAACGATTAGCTTCAAATCTACGTTTAGTTTAGAAAAACTTAACAATTATGCTTATTCCTATCTATGAGAAAATAATTTCAGAATCGTATCATTTACTTACATAATGTTACACGACTAAGAGGTTCGTAAATACATGCAAAATCTCACATGTATTTATTTAAACGTTAGTATTTGCTAGAACTATTAATATTGTGTGATCTTTGTCCTTACGTATTGACGAAATACATCTGCATACTATAAACAGCTAACTTCATCGAGTAGCTCTAGAGAATGTAATTTTTCAATTATAGAATCAAATTCTACTGAAAATCTGTGGCATCTGACACATCGAAGCTCAAAATTCACTATAGATAGGCACTTATGAAGGACAGCTTTTTTTAATATGTAATTCATGCCCTGCAATACCTACACAAGAATTGTGAACCTCCAGAACTGTTTTTTTTTTTGTAAGTACCTACCTACTCGGAAAAAGTAGGATCATTGTCATAAAAAGTAGGATCTGCCTTATTTTGTAGGTAAGGTAGCCACTTCCTCTGCAGTTCAGGATTCCGGGTGAAGCTCGCTTCCATCTTCGGCTTGATCATCACTTTTGTTCAGGTTTGATGCAGACCAAAAGCTTCGTTATTGTAGATAAAAAAAGCTTTTTAATAACTATGGAAAACCTTTATCATTTCAGGTAACGCCATTCTACTACCGATTAAGCTTCCCAAAGTCAAAGTTTCGAACACGTCACAAAGCCTGTTCTTCCGTTTTTTCATCCATGGAAATCCTTGAGATTTTGCAATACTTATAAAATTAACCTCATTGAGCGTTAATGAGTTAAATTTCGTAATGTTTGCTACAGATTTCCTCATCTCTCCGGAAGCGAGGTACTTCCTAGATGTTAATATAACAATCGCTTTATCCTTAGGCGAAGATTTTTCCTGGTGTTGAAATAAAGAACCAATTAAGGGTTCTGTTTGAGGTGACGTCAATCATAAATAAGGTCTATGGATTCAGTAGTCTACTGTATGTTATCACTAGTATAGGTGTCTTTGCAAAAGTAAACATTTTGGGGAGTCCAACATCTTTCGTCTTATTAAGATACAAACTACGGATGTGGTATCTTTATTACTAGTTCCAATAGGTGCTAGTTTCATCAAATGTTCTGTTGACTGTCCTAAACTTGACTAGATCTTGTAGTTGAACTCTTTATGTTGTCTCTACCGACCCTTCAATTTTCCTGAGTGGTTCCATTATGATCAATATCCTGCGGATCCCTAGAAACTATGAGTCACATGCGGCTAAAATAGGAAGCAAAGACAAAACGGACGTCATCTACTAACAGTTTAGGTTGACGTGACGGTAATCTGAATAAAACAGGATAATATTTGACACAAGGGCGACTACTCTGTGCTGAGTCACTTGGCCATTTGCATGGGACCAGCGCAGATTTACCGGTGCTAATCTATTGATCTATCTTGTGTCTTTACCAATTATTATAGGTACTTTTCTAAGGCTGAGTTACACCATCTTACTTTAACTTTGACAAACGTCAAAAATCTGTCAAACTCCATACAAAAAGCACCGGACACTGTTATTGTTACGATTAAAATAAGGTGGTGCGACTCAGCCTAATACACCTACCGCAAATAAAAAGGGTCGTTTAGAAAATCTTCTCCAGAAGCTCGGCTTCAAAAGTACCTTTATCTAAAAAGCTAGTACAAATATAATAAATAAATGGATTAAAACGTGAGATGCACGTGACTTTAAATTTGTGACAGTTCCATAAAAATAATAGGTGTTCGTTTGACTGTGGGGCGATTATCTCGCGAGATACGCTCCACGCTCCACGAAATAAGGTACGTTTCGTACGTACCATGTTGTAAACAGGGAATCCCCTGCTAAAATACCTAATTATTAAAACAACAATCATTTTAGTTGTCGCTATTTGCATACCGACCATACTCATAAATACTCATAAATATGAACATTATTTCTAGCAATTTACCTAACCCTATCATAGCAAGCAATATCCACAAATCTATAAAATTTTATACCCCAAGCAAGAATGACAATTTATTCACTGTAATTATATTACCGCTTTTGTTTTATTAGATGTATGCCTGCGCATATGATCTTGATAAATGTCAACAAATATTATACCTACTGAGGAAAATCTCTGGTGCTCTGCATAAACTATGTTCCAGACTCCAGTGAGAGTTGAATTCTTGATTTCTAAATCCGGAAATCATCGTGTTGTATTCCCTGTTTGAAGACATTGTTTTTCCCAGTACAAACAGTTAAAAAATACTCTACTCTTAAATCTAAGGCACATCATAAAATGATACCACGGCAACGGGCAGTGCGGCATACGGTTCAGAAAGGGCTTGGACCATCGTTTCGTACGTAAAACGAATCAAATAGTAAAAAGACTATAGTAAAATTCTGCTTATTTGAGTACCTGGTGGTCTGTAACACAAGTATTTTTTACTTACCATAGATCACCAGTCTCCACAAATAGGTTACATATACATATTTGGTTATACCTAATCGTAAGCATGTTACATTGTATCTTGTTTGTGGTGAGAAATAAATTCCATTTTTATTTTTTTATATTTTTTTTTTATTTTCCCAACAATACCTACCTTTTCTACCTATTCTCTTCATCTAGTCGCGTGGGAAACCTACGAAAATTCGGCGGCTTATTCAAAAAATGTTTTGTCCGCATTGTGACTAACAAACAAACAGGAAGGCAGACAATAGGCGTGTCGATTTATGCAGGCCTGTAGACAATGGCTACGATTATGAAGGCGTACTTGCCAATTAGAGATTGTATACAAATCGCTGTCGTTAGCGGCTTGGACGAAAGTTACGCAATCGTGCGAGTGGGATTATAGGGACGTCCAATTGATAGGGAGTTACCTAATTTTCGCATTATGAATGACTTCTACCTAGAGTCATTGGTTAGTTAAATGACAGTTAAGATTTTTCTAGACCAGCATTGATTAACGTAAGGTTTGTAGGGTTTTATGGGAGTTTATACCGGGAATTTTATTCACCGGGCATTTAACAAGTGTTAGGCAGAGTTGAGTTACTTTAAACTTTAACAAATGTCAAAAGTCTGCCAAACTCCATACAAAAACACCGGTTATTGTTACTGTTTAAGTAAGTTGGTGAAACTCGGCCCTTAGTAAAAGAAAACAAACTAGTGTCGAATAATCACAAATTATGACAGGCAATCTCCTACTACTAGTAAAAGGATGAGGCAATAGTACCTAAGTAATTGAGAAATTAAGTCAATTTAAGTACAGTGGATGGATACCTATATCAACAAGACAGACACTATGGTAGATCTTTAATCCGTTATAATAAGTGAGATTTTACAACAAAAATAATAGTCTGGTGTGTAGACTGTACAAAGCTTGCGTGCTAATTACAAAACTCTTCATTTGTTTAATTAATTTTGTAGCATGTCAACACGTCACATTCAATCTATACCTATGGGAAATAAATAAAGAATCTTATTTATTAGCAAACAACAAATAAAAACATAACTTGTGAAGATATAAGGAAACGAGACATGACAATATAATCAATACCTATATCTATAACGAGGTACTTGTAAATAAATAATGATAGCAGCCTACACAAGGCTGCCTTGAGAAGTTAAGTTACATAGTAGGGAATGAAGAATGTTCACTAATTTTGTTTTTTAGCTTTCTGTATTCTCTGTTAAAAATAAAAAATACACGTGAAAGAATTATTTCGATACGTCAATTAGTTTCCAAGATATTGAATTTTAAAAGTGCGGGCGGCGGCCGTCCCGCCATTTTATGCGCGTGACGTCATATTACAACGACTGGCTCATATTTGTATGGGTGGAATCTTGCAAGCTGAATTAAGACCCACTTCCAGGCAACCGATTAAGCTGAAATTTCGCAAATACATGTGATTTGGATGACCATGCAATATTATGATGACATGGAGCTGATCTGATGATGGAGCTGGAAGGTGGCCATAGGAACTCTATAATAAAACGACTTAAATGCATCGAGTTTGGGCTCGTTCGTTTTGTGTTGATGAGTATTTTAATTATATATAGTAATCGGGGTCTAATGATGGAGCTGGAAGGTAATTCGCAATAAAACGACACAATCGCATCAAGTTTGGGTTTGGTTCAATTTTAATTTCTTTGATGGGTCTGGGTGTTAATATGTATAATAAGTTTGTATTTACAAAAAAAAAATATTTAAGTATGTTTATATCCGTTTTCTAGTGAGCGGACGCTGTGAATGTACGTCACACGGGGTCACGTGACCGTCGGCGGGACTCAATATTTAAGCGAACTTTGAATGCCTATAAAATCATAACTACTGGGTATTTTTGAATGAAATAAAAACTAATGTATTTGTAAATGTAAAAGCTTAACTGAAACATAGGTTTCAAGTGATTTTGCATACCTAGTAACATTCTCAATTGGTTACTCTATTCATGAGACGTTGCGTTGGTTAAAACATTTTATTCTTGACTGTACTAAATCAGTCATAAAACGAATCTGTCTTAAAGTGAATCTGTCGTAAACCTAATCTGTCCTAAACAGAATCTGTCCTTAACCGAATAAAGGT